TGGAAAGCTGCCTCGTAGAAAGGGACATGGAGGTTCAGTTTTGTGCCTCTCACAAGGAAAACATTGATGAGGCTTGTCTAGAGAAGGGAAACAAAGCTGAAGAAAGGTCTAGAGAGTAAGTCCTGTGAGAAGCATCTGGGGGACTTTAGGTTGCTCAGGCTAGAGAAAAGAAGGCTCAGAGGAGATTTTATTGCTCTCTACAACTCTCTGAAAGGAGGGTGTAGCCAGATGGGTATTGGTGTCTTCTAGGCAACTTCTGACAGGACAAGTGGACATGGCTTCAAGCTCTGTCAGGGGAAGTTCAGCTTGGATATCAGGAAGAATTTCTTCATGGTTATCAGCATCGGAATGGACTGCCCACAGTGTCTGTAGAGTCACCTTCCCCAGGGATATTCAAGAAATGGGCATAGCACTTGGTACTAAGGCTTAAATGACTAGATGGTGATCAGTCAAAGGCTGGAATCAATGATGTTCAAGGTCATTTTTCGACCTAAATGTTTCTGTGTTTGAAACCCATTCAAAGTAGAGGAAAGAGGTAGCAAGAACCAGATTTTGCAAATGTAGTATGGGAGAACAGTACCTTAGATATCCAAACCCTACAACTGAATGCAATTACAGGATAAACCAATGCAAAAGAAATACTGTCTTGATCTTAATCTCAACAACTGCTGAAAGCATTTCAAGACAAAAAAGCTTAGTTTCTTGAATAACTCCATTTACCTACTTAATTCACATGTTCTAAGTGTTTTGCTAAATCAAACTTCTTATATACCAATGGGAAACCACAGAAGGATGACTGTCTAGTTCACAACAGCTTTACTGACATTTAGAACATTATCTCAGTACTTCAGTGCCTCAGATGGGACCTTCCAATTCACCAATAAAGCACGGCTAGACACAGTGCGGAGTACAAGCAGTACCTCAATGACTTTAAAAAAATTAAGCCAACAATACTGTCTGTAAGGAGAAAACAGGAAGACTAATTGGTTTCATCTTTCCTCTTTACTGCCTGTAATAGGAACAATATGTTATTCAGTATATGCCAAGTATCATCTAATTCTATTCTAATACTGCATCCACTGACATAAAAAGCAATCTCTGTCCGTAAGTGAAAACCCTTTCCTTCCTCAGGGGTTTTGGGAAGGATGAAGTGTGCTGTGTCTGCCATCCAGCATAAAACTAATCTCTGAGTTGAAGGGCACTAGTAACAGTGTCCAGCCACTACAGTTTTCAGGCCATAACACTAGCAATCATCCTTCACCTTGCCCCATAAACATGCATTCAAAGCAAACACAGCTGATCACCTCCCTCCCTTCACAGGACTATCTTGCTTGCAGGCCATTCCTCCATGTACATTAGACAGCCTCCCAGCCCTCCTCTCATGCACAGGGAAGTGCTAACTAGTGGCACAGGCTCCAAACTCACCAGCACAGTGCCCCCTCTAGCCATCAGCTACTGTTTCCCAGCACCACCACAGCTGCTGCAAGGACAGCTGCCTGGGATGGTGTCCACCACTTTATTTTCTCTTCAAACAGCAGCTGTGTGGTCACACTATGAGGAGCTGTGGTCCTTTTTCCTCAGATCTGCCAAACCACCGTAACCAGGTCAGCTCCTCCATGACCACCTGTGAACCCAGAACAGTTTGTAATTCAGTTACCTCAGGGCCAACAGATGCTCACCCCCAGCTATGGACCACTGTTTTCACTGAACACTGAATACCCCTGCTGCCATCAGCTCCTGACTCCAGCTCTACTGACATGGCAGTTCCCAAGCCCTGCTGGAAGCAGACCAGGGGCCTCAGAGGCTGAGACTGGATCACCCCAGTTCTTACACAGCCCCTCCACAACTGACAAGCTTTCCACCTGTTAACACACAATTTATACATGCACTTGTAACACCAATTCCCATTAACAAAAAATACAACTCCTTCCAGATTTCACACCACTGCAAATACTCTAGATGCAGGCATACTAGGTGTCCAGCTGCTGCTTGCATTCCCCACGAGTTACTGTCACAGGCAAAACTGCCTCAACTCAGGCAATTCTATTTAAATTACTGGCAATGATTAGGCAACTAATTATTGATTTGGGTACTGAGGAAAAAAAGACAGATAACCTAACCTTTGGAGAAGTACCTTTTGTCTTCCTTCCCCAGCTCTGCTTCAGTTAGAAACACTTTCCCCCCCGCCCCCTTCTATCTGAACTGCTCATTTGCATGCTTCCTTACACTCAGTCCCTCCCCAGCCCTTCAGCAAGATCACACAGGAGGCAAAGTCAGCACACAATGGTTTTTCTGCCGTGCCTTACTTCTTACTCCTTTTCTTCTATTCCTGGCTGCCTCTTAAACTGTTACTCTGCTCTGGAAGGTGTAAGTGATCAGGAGTGACTTAGGTACAATAAGGTTGCAATCCCTTTGGCAGGGTCTGTGCCCCAGTACATGTCCTGCCATGAGCTGCAGTCTCCTTAGCGCAGAGTGAACCATGGGGCTGAAGTCTCTCAGGGTGTCTCTACCCCAGCATGGGTTGTCCACAGGTTACAGTCTCTTCAGCAGTGCTTTATCAGTAGCCCAAAGTGCACTCAGGAGTGTTCCTGCTCCAGTGTTGCCTCCACAGGAGGCAGTCCCTTTGAGGGGGTAGCTCCTGTGGCAGACCGTCACAGTGTGCACTGTTCCCTGCTCTTTCTTACATACCTTAGCATATCTCATCCTCTCTCATATCTTCCTCAGTTGTGTCTCCTGCCTATTTCAGTTGTTACTTATTCGTAAGAGTTAGAAGCAGTAGCACCACACTTGAGATTTAAACATGCAATTGACTGTTTTAATCAGCTTTAAAACTGACCAAAATCAGTCATGCCCAAAGTAGTCTCTCCCCCCACTAACCACCCTTTCTGCCCCCCAGTACTGAAATCCCGCCATTTGTGTCCAAGGTAACAGGTACTTTCCAAGAAAGAAGTTATTCATCCAAGTGAATATAAGAGCTAAGGATAACTAAACTACAGTAGAAGAAAATTAAAGTAGTTAAACAATTAGAGCTTATTAGTGATTTCACATTTTAAAACAAACAAACAATAAAAAAAATAAAAAATAAAGGAAGCAGAAGCAAAATTTTGGTATCCATGAATTCAATTTGGAAAGTGTGGACTGCATGAGTGAAAAGTGGAGCAGATTGGGAACTGGATGAACAGCAGATTCAGAGTCATAATTAGTGGCACAGGCTCTAGTTGGAGACCTGCCCCCAGTGGTGTCCCCCAAAGTCCAAAGTGGTTCCATCAATGATTTGGGTGAAGGGGCAGAGGCCTGCTCAGCAATTTCACTGACAACACAAAGCTGGGAGGAGTGGCCCATACCCCAGAGGGCTCTGCAGCCCTTCAGAAGGGCCTCAACACCTGGAGAGATGGGCAGAGAGGAACCTTCTGAAATTCAGCAAAGGCAAAAGCAGGGTCCTGCACCCAGGGAGGAACAGCCCCAGGCACCAGCACAGGCTGGGGGTGACCTGCTGGGAAGCAGCTCTGTGGAAAAGGAGCTGGGATCCTGCTGGACAACAACTCCCCATGAGCCAGCAGTGCCCTGGTGGCCAAGGCCAGTGACATCCTGGGCTGCATTCAGGGGAGCAGTGCCAACAGGTTAGGGGGAGGTGATCCTGCTCCTTTACTCAGCTCTGGTGAGGCCTCACCTGGAATACTGTGTCCAGCTCTGGGCTCCTCAGTAAAAGAGAGACAGAAGAGTTCAGAGAGCAGAGAACTATGAAGATGATTAAGGGACTAGAGCGTATCTCACATGAGGAAAGGCTGAGGAAGCTGGGCCTGTTCAGTGTTGAAAACAGATGACTGAGAGGGGACCACCATCAATGTCTGTGAGTACCTAAAGGAAGAGTGTCAAGAGGATGGAGCCAGAACCTTCTCAGTGGTGCCAAACAGTAGGACAAAAGGGAGAAACTGATGCACAGGAAGTTCCACCTGAACATGAGGAAGGACTTCTTTAATGTGCAGGTGACTGCACACTGGAACAGATTTCCCAAAGAGGTTGTCAAGTCTCCCTCAATGGAGATATTCAAGAACTGTCTGGACACAATCCTGTGCCATGCACTTTAGGATTAACAGGGACGGCTGGACAGGGATGGTTGGACTAGATGATCCACAGTGGTCCCTTCCAACCTGACCCATTCTGCAAGCTTTCCTTTCAGTAAGGGCTGAGTTTTATCACAGGTACCCATCAGATGCAGTAGAGCAGCAAGTAAGGAGAACAGATAAGCACAAGGAAAGCAAACACAAATTCAGGTATTTTCTAATCCTAATAGTGATGCAAGAGGGCCTTTTACTTAAGAGAGCAAAACAACTATTTACAAAGAGATGCATTCTTAATCCTTTCCCCACATACCCACAGAAAATTCCTCTGCTAGGTTCTATCTGTTTTGTCAGTCACTAAAATGCAAACACTGCTCACAAACTCTAAAGGCATTTTTACTTGGACTTATCCAAGAAGGATCTGACTCACTGCATATACTTGTTTTACTAGTACTATCATTATTTCTCAATACAAAAAAGAAGTGTGCTTATGGCTGGCACAGAGTACTGTGCTCTTTCAGTTGTTCTACCGTGCAGCCGTTGCAGTCACATATCATACATTCTCGAAGTCCTGTGCACCCTGGTCTCCCACTATCACTGAGAAAGCCACACTTTTCAGGTGTATACCAGCGCACAACAAACACCAAGCCTTGCCCGGCAGCACTAAGGGCAACGGAGCAAAGATCACCGCACAGAGCAGGAGGCAGAAACGCAGAGGACGGTTTTTACCCGAAGAACGACAGCAGGGTCACCGCCGTGCCCCGAGCACGTCCAGCCCGACCGCCGGGTCTCTCGGCGGGGTCTGCGGGAGTTACAGAGCAGGGAGGCAGGCTGGTCCCCGGGCTGACACCCAGAGGCAGGGGAGCCGCCGGCCCGGGGCGGAGGCGGCGCGGCGGACGGGGCCCGCTGCCCGGGCGCCCCGGGCGCGATGGNAGCTCTGCCCCGCCTGCTCCGGCCGCCGGGCGCGGCAGGGGCGCTGGCTCCGTGTCGGCCAACTTTGGTGTTGGCCGCTGAGGAGACCGCAGCCCCTTATCCAGAGAGGCGGGGATCGGGGCAAGCCAGGTATTGCTGGTGTTGCCGAGCATCTGTGAGGGGAGACTGTGAGAGCTGGACCTGCTCAGAGTGAAAGGGGATCTCATTAATGCGTATCAATATCGCAAAAGCGGGTGCCAAGACCACCGTGCTAGAGTCTTTTCGACGAGGCCCAGCGACACGACAGGGAACAGTGGCCATAAACTAACTCAGAAGTTTCACCAAGAAGTTCCTCTCAGCGTGAGAAAGAACTTCTGTACACAGGTAGAGTACTGGAACAGGCTACACGAAGAGTTTCATGGAGTCTCCTTGTCCCGAGACATTTCAAACCCACCTGCACTTTTTCCTGGTTCACCTGTTCTAGGTGACCCTACCTTGGCAGGGGGCTTGGACGGGATGATCTCCAGAGGTGTCTTCCAACACTAACTGCTCTGTGATTCTGAGATCTAGTACAGGGGGGCTAATAATAGGGCTGCATGGCCTTTGCTATTTTTCTTTATTGCTCTGGAGCCCGAACACCTTCTTAGTGATGTTGAATGCTGGAGGACGGGATTGCTCTTTCTATCATAGGTGTGCACCTGTGAGTTGCTGGCGGTGCTGAACTCTGTGAGTCAGCGAGGCTGCTCCAAGGACTGGGGCAATTCCAACAGTCATACTGCCATCTGTGGAGCCCAAGCAGTGTTAGAGCAACTCGGTGACTACCAGCCTTGGCTACGTTTGAGTTAGTGCCCTATTAATGAAAGAGTCAGTTGCTCATTACTAATCCTCTGAGACAGCTATTCTTGCCTTTATTTCATTACAGTGTTTATGGCAATTCCTATTACTGTGATGTGGCTCCATTTTTAAGGGGCTTTGCATGCAGAAATCTCCCAACTCCTCTCTTTTACAGTTCAGCATTTTTGATCTGGGTCAGAAATATCAATTTATCTCTTTTTTTGCTTATTGTGTAATAGGCAATCGTGCATTGCATTAACTGTTTTAAATTTAACTCCATTAATCTGGGGTATGCTGTGGGAGGATAAAATTACTTGACTGACTCTGCCTGCATTCTGAGCTTGCCAGAATAAGCATAGCCTTACATAAGAGACTATGTTTACCTGTACATGAGAAGGTACACTTTTTCTCATGAGTCTTGACAAATAACACAAGCTGAACATTGCAGTGTATGCATGTTCTCTAATAGGTTTTTTCCCTCCACAGATCTCTCTCATTAATGTAGGTAAAGGAGTGTTCATAAATTCTGCTAAGAACTCGGTTGTGGTTTTGAAAAGTATTATAGTCACCACAATAAATGTAGAGACTGTGTTTTGAGTCAGCTCTAATTGTATGTGAGAAGTTAGAATATAGCAATTTATAGGCAACTTACTGTCAGAAAAGATGGGGTCTCACCTGGTGAGGAATTGACGAAATTAGAAGTATAATTTAAAACTAAAAGTGAAAAGCTACTAACTAATAACTGGTAAGAACAAGCGAGGTATCAGTCCATTCTAGTGCAAACACTGCCTGTATAGTCTGTTAGTTCCTGGTTAATGCTAGTTTCCACATAAATAAATCATGGGGCCAGCAACATGCCTTTTCACTGGCTTCAGTGATTTCTTATTATAACTTCCTTAAAAATAACTTTTCAAGTAAAACAAATTACCTTAATTTTCAAATTCCCCTATTGTGTTTGTATGTCATTTGTAACTGAAAGTGGCAGGTTTTTTTATATTTGTTCCTGCATTTAGAGTTTAATGATCACATTTATATTGATTTAAGATTGCCTCAATGAGCTTTATAGGCATTTTTTAGCCATGATTTGAATTGCCATGCTCGATGCTGGCACAGTCACAAGACTAGTTGAGTCAGAGAATTCAGAGCTGGTACGTATGAACTGTTAGAATATAGCTCATATAACCTTTACCTGGTTGGCTCGCATCTCTCTTCTAAGGTAGAAACAGCCTATGCAAAAGAGTATTTTGGCTTATATGATAGTACAGGGAATTGAGGAAGATTGAGGGCCTGTCTCCAGTAATCAGTAAAGCAAATAATCACGGTTTATTAAACTGAAGCAGTAAAGCTTAATTTTTGTCCTAGAAGGTGTTTGCCTGGGAGATTAGATTGAGAGGCTGCTTATTGTGCAACAGGTAGGGTTAATGGCTCCATGTAAACAAACTTTGCTGAGGCTTCTTCATAAACAAAACGAATAAAGGTAATGACTCCTATACTTCAGCCAGCCATACGGATGAATGAGCAGTCCTCAAGCAATGTTCCACAGGAAAAAAACAAGATATTAGAAATAACTTTGTCTAGAAAAGGATTCACCTGTCTGCCATCCTCTCTAGGATGTGATTCTGCCCTGTGATTGTATGGGGAGAAAGAACTCTCTCATGACGTGTTTAAGGTAAAAAGCTGCAGCACTAAATGTTCAAGTCGATGTACGGTTTAAAACCCGAATCTTCAATATACTTTCAGGATTGTAATGGAGAAGAATCAGGTATGGTAAATCCTTCAGCCTGAGCAACTTCTCTACTCAAATTTGCTGCCATATGGATTCTTTCAGCAGGTATAGTAAGATCAGTGGGGGAGCAAGTATTAAAGGTTGCCTGAAGAATGGGGCTGCCTGGAGTTGTGACAGTTCAGTAGTAGGGGACGTACACTTGGCTCCTCTCTGTAAGTGTGTAGTGCAACAATTCACAGAGAGCAGTGTTCTTCAAGTAGGGCAAATCTGCCTCCTCAAAGGTGCCTCATTATGCCTTGGGGCATGGTACACCCTGGTGTTTTAATCAGGTGCTTGGGACTTAATGCAAATGTGTACTATGTTTAAATTAAAAACAAAACTAGCCCTTCCATGTGCTATAAAGCTGCTGTTCTTGGTTCATTCATCATTTTGCCAAAATATTGATTAATTTTAACACCGTTAGAGTGTAGTTTTTTGCAGACTGAAAAAGATTAATTTAATAGGAATCTCTGTCATAAAGGTCCTAGTTGGCCTAGATATAAGACTTGTTCCAACAACAAAAATGATGCAATAGAAACACTCGTGTAATTCTGAACTGATAAAATGGGATAAATATAATTAGTTAACAATTGAACAATAGTGGATTAACCTGTAATTATACTGATATTAATGCTGAGAAGGCTGTGGAAACCAAAACCACTGAAGTTTCTCCTACTGGTATATCTATGAGAGGTTTTAACCCTATACAGACCTCCCAGTTTTCTTCTCAACCATGAGTTTCTGTTGAAAACCATTGCTTACATAAGCTTTGGAAAGAGAAAATTCATCTAAGCCTCCATCCTCAGATGGCAAGACAGTTTTTCACCCAGATTACAGTTAAAATTGTATTTAAAATCCACTGAAATGCTATTTCAGAATTTGTATTACTGTTTCCAAGTATATATTCTCCAGTTCACTTTACTATTGTTTCTCTTTAGAATGATATCACTGAGGTTCTGGGCAAATAGAAGGCAAGGACAAATTTGCTTTCTCTAGCTTATCTGTCATTTTTCTTATGAAAATATAAAAACAAGGGTGCAGACAATGGAAGCTTTCTCTTTGCTTAATGATTAGATCCATTAATGCATCTGCACTCTGAAACTGCTTTGTAAAATACTTTATTATAAAGGGCATATGCAATGGTAAGGATTATGTGTCTTTGAAACTTGGTTTTAGTAATTTAAACTCTGAGATGTCTGTCTTTTTTATTAAAAATCCACTTTTATTCCATTTTTTTAATTAAATCAAAGAAATGTGTGTATTACAGCTCTGCATATTTGTTATTATATACTCTGCCTTGCATCTTCCTCTTGTTTAAATGTTTAGATTATGAAAAAAAATATGCAGTTATCAGTTGGATTTGATATAGAAATCTATGCGATTGCTCCCCACTTAGCCTCCATGCCTAAGTGAGTTCACAACTTTATTTAAGATCTAAAGCATTTGTAGATATAAAAGCCTATCTAGTAGGGGCAAGAGAAAGAGACCAAAAAGAGACAGTTCTGCCAGTATCTGCTTTCTTTGGCAGTAACAAGCTATCTGATCCGCATATGTGAAGTGGCTTGTGAGGTTTAACAAACAGAGTTCTAGGCTAGCCATAACACAGTCTTTGTCTTGTCTGGTACTGTGTCTAAAAAAATTGAACACCAGAAAAATTAGAGACCAGAGCTCTTATGCCCAAGGGTTGAAAAGCTACAGGTGCAGTGAAACCTCAAAGTATAAATCTGAAAGGAGTAAAGCCTCAGTACTTTGATCTTCAGAAAGAGGCTTGTCCTCTGTTACGTACTCCATTTCTCCTTTTAATTTACAATTTTCAATGAGCAAAAACATGAATGGGGCTTTATTATAAGTGTTAAGTAATTTTTTTGATTTTGTTCTTCTCCCTTTTTATTTCTTTTCCTCGTCATGTCTCCATTTTTATTTTTAAATTTTCAAAACAAGGATTATCCCTCTGAGATTAAAAGACATTATTTTTCAATATACAGACTCACAAAATTGTCATATCTACACACCAGTGTATTTTTACTTTTTAAAAAATGTCCTATAAACAAATTATATGCTCCTTCTGGGGAGTATCATGCTATCCTTACCTCCTGGAAAACAAAACCATCTGGCCACAGTATTTTGATTATTGTGGAGCCACAGGCCAAGGAGGATGGCAGAAATCTCTCTTTGTATGGTGTTTTGAGAAAACAAGGGTGGTGATCAGGGGTGAGAACATCTGATTGAAAAAGTGTGATAGTTATGATATTTTTCATATCTGAAGTACAAAAGGAAAAAAATATATTTCACAGAATCACAGAATCAGTTAGGTTGGAAAAGACCTTTGAGATTGTTGAGTCCAGCTTATGACCAACACCATCTTGTCAACTAGACAATGGCAGTGAGTGCCATGTCCAGTGCTTCCTTGAACACCTCCAGGGACAGTGACTCCACCAGCTCCCTGGGCAGCTCATTCCAATGCCCAACCACTCTTTCTGTGAAGAACTTGTTCCTAATGTCCTAAACCCACCCTGCCACAGCTCTCATCCTGTCACTGGTTACTTGGGAGAAGAGGCTGATCCCCACCTGGCTACATGCCCCTCTCAGGAAGTTGTAGAGAGTGATCACATCTCCCCTGAGCCTCCTTTATTTCCAGGCTAAGCATCCCCAATCCCTCAGGACTTGTGTTCCAGACCCTTCATCAGCCTTGTTTCCCATATGTGCATGTGTATGTATATGTATATATGTGTGTATATATATGTGTGTATATATGTATATATATGTGTGTATATATATGTATGTATGTATAAACTCAGAGTTGTTTGGGCTTTTTTTAAAGCTCTAAGTCCTCTCACTTTTGGGGCTAGTTTTGCTTCAAAAATAATCTCTCTGTTCTGGTGTTTTAAAAGTCATATCTCTAAGGAATATTAAGCAAACAGGTTTCTTTTAAGAACAAAATCTGTTGCAGGTATTATTACCAAAAAAATCAGGTAAATAAAGCTCCTTAATACCAATGTAGCATTAAGAAGCAGGCATTCTTTATTATGGCACTGGCTGCACATGGGATATCTGCACCAGCTGAGCTGAGTTTAGAAAAGCTCTTGCTTTTATACTGAATTTTACATAATATTAAATTATTTTCTTGGAATAAAATTATGAAATATGAAATTATTATTCAATGTTCCCTCCCTTTGCAAATGTGTTCTTATGTCCTGGGGTTTCTTCTGGTGGTTGTAAACCCCAAAGTTGTAGCTGACTGATAAATAAACGTGTTACGTCCCAAAAATGGAAGTAACTTCATTATTTTGCACCTCTTCTTGGTTAGCGTTTAACATGATCCTGCAGAATATGCACTGTGTGGTTGTATTGGTTTTGCAGCATAAGCCTTGTATTTTCCCAACAGCTGAGCAAATAATTCTTCATCTGACATTTACACAGAATTTCACATGATGAGCAGAATATATATCAAAATATAATTGTTATTTTTAACCAAGAAACATGTTAGGATGTAGTTAATATAGCATGTCCTTAATATTGAGTACAAACATTGAGAGGGAAGAAGAAGGTCACTTATATTTACGTCTTTATCTATTTAGGTAATGTTTTAAATTTACATTTCTCATTAATAGTTTTGAGAATGAAGTCAGATTTTTTCACAAGTATCTTAAAAAATACTAACTGTTAATTGTCCAGTTGGATACACACTATGCATGGGTTTTCCAGTTGGACTAAAATTTATTGTTTTAATCATGGAACTCAGCTGGCCATTGACATCACCTCATAATGGCCAGTAACTTCTATGGATATCTCAGTTTTATAAAGATAAGGGAAAAATCAAGCAAAATTGCAAATTGATTAGATAGCTGCGTATTTCATGATTTTCAGAAGAGTAAGCATTTATTCTACAGGAGAGTTTCATCAATGTGAACCTTCTTGGAAATTATAAATGCTGACTGCAAGTTAAGGGTATACTACCATTAGAAACATGCAATCAAGTTTCTTTTTCTACCTGCTAGACCCTGCTTGGGTTCTTTGCATCTCTCAGTCCTTTTTCTGCAACACAGCTGCATTCTTGTTAACCCAAGCAAGGATAGCCAAGAGCAGGTTTCCAAGTCTTAGTGGATTCAGGTTGTTCAGGAATTTAGGAACGGAAGACACACATCAAGGGCTTGAGCTGAGGGAAAGAATTTGGTCAGCGAGCAACAGGACAGAAATTGTGGTCAGAGAGCCCTCTTGGGGATCAAAAACATGAGTGTTTTTGTAAGCCAAGAATAAAAGCTGAAAAGGCTGAAATCCAGTGATGTTTCCTTACTGAATGGGACACTATATCTAAAGGTAGTATTTGTTGCTTCCAAGAACAAGTATTTGATGCTCCAAGAATACATTTAGACACAACTAATAAATTTAAATGGATCTATGGATACTGAGATTAGTCCTTAAGAAACTCCTGGGCCCCAGGACTGGCACCATGGTACAAAGATGGTGGCTAGAGTAGGAGGTGGTTCCCAAGCTCAGTCAAAGCACATCAGGAGCAGCTGGAAAGCTCACAGTCCTTTCTCTCTACTACAAACCATGACTGCCTGGAAGCAAAACTGCCTTGGCCAGATAGGTGAGCAAAATTATAAAGAGCTTTTGGTCATTACTTATCAAAGCTTAGAGGGTGGAGGGAGTAAGATAAGTTAGAAAGTAAGGTAAGTTAGAAAGATATTTGTTTTAGAAATCAGGCTCAGCCCCGCCTTGAAGCTGAGTGTCCGGCAGTTTCTGAAGTCCACCTTAACACACTGATGACAATATAACTTGTGATTGAATGTAGTCCAAGATATCTCACAGGGTTTCCTTCTCATGTCTCAAGGGCTGGTATTGCAGCATACACCATTAGCTTCATCAGAGGCATCCCTAAGGAATGCCTCTTTCCGAAACGGCTGCGAAGATATGAGTTGTATTTGAATCTTTCCCAACCGCAACAGAACTGTCAAGCATCCAGAATCACTCTGTGCTCATTTATGGAGTGCTGGGATCTGCTTTCTGATATCTGTGAGTATTTGCATGCAGTTTCCCACAATATGAGTGGAGGTGCAGACTGAAGATGGACAGAATGGTTATATTTAAGTAGCCAGAATGCACTGAGACATCTGTTCTAGCCGTGTACTTGGTTCTAACCACAAAGATTAACAGATTCATAGCACTGTTTGAAAGGGACATATTGACTTGTTCAGTTTCTGTCTGGGTGCTGTTGAAAGAACCTGGGGACAGTGTAACCTAAAGACAAAAATACACAGCTGGAGCTGTCAAGAGGAATATTTGTCTGTCATTCTAAGAATACTGTTTTAAAAAGCTATTTCAAACGCTATTCCTGAAATGGTTTAGAAACAGTTGTTTCTAAATAGTTGCTAACACAATATTTCAATCAGATATGAATGATTCCAGAGCTGCTCATTTAGCTGTTACTGCTGCTCCTCCATCTTACCACAATGCTTTCTGATGTCCCAGTTCCTTTATTTTGTGAATCTAAGGTAAATAATAGAGGTCACAGGAACATAATAAAAGCCACTGTGCAAATATATTTCACAACCACATTGAGCAAGTTTTCCCAACTCTTTTTTGGGAACACCTTTTATTTACCACATCTAATACAGGTATACATCCTGCAAAAGCTGTACTTCCATTTTTTTTGAGGAGTTGAAATAACAGGCCCCTGTACCTGACAAGCTCTACTGTTCCAAATTGTGTTATATATTTATAGTATAGTCCAGACCTGCTATTTCAAACAGAGAGATGTTTTTTCCAGAACAAAAGAACTGTTTAGCTCAGGACTTGCAGTAGTAGAGCCATTTTCACAATTGTGTGCTGAACTGGGCTGATGGGTCACGATTTCAGTAGCTACTCCTGCACATCTAGGAGGTGCACAGGGTGTGGTGAGCTGAGACTAGCAGAAACAGTGGGGGTCCTTCATGCAGAATATTTGCAATTTGGTGTCTCAGATCTTCCTTACCCAGCTCACAGGGATTATGTATTCTAACCTATGCTCATTTTCCACAGCAGTTACGGACTTTGGCTTTGCACAGGGACGTGCATCCAGTTAGAAGCAATCAGGGTGACCTGAGATGTCTGATCTGCCAAGCTCGCTGTGTTGTTGGTCATTTGTATTTCTGCTGTGGTTATTTAATTACCACTTTCACAGTGAAGCAGCTGTTAAGTGGCTCAGAAGACTAATATACATTGAGTCTAGACAGGCACAATTTGAAGCCTGAGTTTTCAGTTTCTCTCTAGATAACCAATATAAATGATGCTATCTGAGTTTCTGTTTCTAAAAACATTCAGTATTTCCATAGCATTTTCCTGTTCTTTGCAAAGGAAATATCATCCTTTACCCTTAGTTGTGTTGTTAGATTATCCTTGACAGAGTTATTCCTTAAAATGTGGGGAAACCTGCTGAGGAAATTACCAAGTTTCAGTTACTATTTAAGCCCATTACAAAAGCAGTAGGGTTAAATGTTCTTCTAAATTTCTTTGCAGAGGAATATTCATATAATTAGGTGCACAACAGGTGAGAGAGAAGGCTGAACTTTGATTTTTTACAATGGAGTCAGATCTGAAAAAATAACTCTATTTTTTAAACAGTGAATTAACAAATTCTATGTACATTTTCCTTTCTATAAGCAGAACCTGTTTTAGTTTGTTGTAAATACTAAGTTGTTAGGTGTTGTGTGAGCTGGCTTCATGCTGGGTTCTGGTCAATAGTAGGAGATGTGGGGAGTTTCTAGAGCTTTTAGCATCATGGTCTTCTCAGGTAGTGACTTGTGTTCTACTCAGAAGTTCTCTTCAGTTTGGTTTTCATGTTGACCCAGAGAGTGACTTTTACATAAAGATATACAGATAGGAATTAACATGATTTGGTGTAGATAAATGGTAGAATCTAAAGGATGTCCCTGATATGGAACATTGACTCATCTGCTTCTGGAATCAACTGGTCTTAGCAACGACCAGTGGCTGTCATCAGCCTTGCTTACATTTGTAAGAACAGAGTCTTCCCAGGAACAGAAGTATAAGCAGCTGGTTGTTGTTGTGTTAAGGTTAGTGATGGCAATCTGGACACCAAGGATGAAACAGTGGGAACAGCTGCAGGATTCACCAAAATTTCACCTTGTTCAGGATCTGTTTCAGATACTGACAAAAGTGAACACACAAATGATTGATTAATTTCCTCCAATTTCATTTAAATTTGAGACCTCAGCCCAGAGTGCGAAAGTGAAAGCCACAGGGTTTTTGATCTATCTGTCTTGCTTGTATGCAAGCCTTCTACTTACCTGTCTGTGCCAAAAATCCCTGTGGTACGAAGAAACTGCTCTTGGATAAATCTTATCTTGAGTGCAGTTGGATATGTCATGAAAACATTGGCACTGTGTCAGGGAGACAGCTGCTGTGCCCTTTGCCTAAGGACAAAAAGTTCAGTCCTTTACCAGTGAGTCATAACTGGGTGTATCAGCTGTAATGCAGGGAACAGGTTAATTTTGCATGCTTGTCATCATGAGCCATTGTTGCATTGCATCATGTATTCCAAACCCATGGTGTCAGTGTAAGGTGTGACAGTTGATTTTGATAAGTAGGAAGCAAGAGTCTACAAATTACTACATCCTCCAAGGACTCCAAAGGACTATTACAAGATTTTATCTTCTCATCCATTTCTTAGTGACTTGTTCTGATTTTTATTACAGTTAAAGGTTCTTTTCAGGCATATAATTGTAGTAAGTTTGAATATGGAAAGGCTATATTCTGTTTCTGTGTGTCACAATCATGGCACTTGTGAAAACCAATAGGCATTTTGTCTTCAGCTGACTTCATCACAGTTGAAACACAAACATTTTATGCATTCCCTCCTACTAACCTTTCCTTTGCCCTTTCATTCTTTTTCCCTCTCAAGCAAATAGAAATACTACTCAGGCACCAAATGTTTTGTGTGTGAGAGAGAGCACAAACATTAGATATGGTTAAATGGGCAATATTTCTCTGCAGTCTAAAGCTATTTCCTTGCTTGCATATATGATTGTGTGCTCGGTATGGCCTTACCTTACTTTTCATTGGGCTGTGCCATTCTGTTTCTCAATGCCATGAGAGAACAGGCAGCTCACCTAAGAGGCTTGTATCACATGAACAGGTGTGGCTTTAAAAGAAACTCCGGACTATTTCCAGCAGGAACTTACTCACCATTGAATCTTTCCACAGTTACCTACTTGTGAGAGTGGGGCTGATAAACAAACTCCCATTGGGCAATACAGCTATGCTCGGCATGGAGTAATCAGCTTTTCCAGTGGCTAAAAGAAAACCTCCTCTGGCTGATTCAGACATTTACGCAGCAAATTACTCTTTGGTTAGAGGGCTGTGTGGCCAAAGAAATTGGGATGTATTGATTGCAGTGCTTCTCTCCATCACTAGGGAACAAGGAGCAGGTGTCAGACCTTTCATGGCGAGCAGGCATATTCACGGGGTCTGAATGCAACCTCTATGACAATCTTTAGAGAAACTTAAAGGGGTGAGAGCACAGACCACCAGAGTTGTACAGGCAGAGTTTGGCACAGTGGTACAAATCTACACTTAGGTACTTAAAGGTTGTAGTTGTGTTAGTGTTCAGGCTCCAGCAAAAGTACTCCCAAATATTCTTCTGTACCTTTGCCTACAGGTATTCTGCCTTGTATGGAGACAGTTAAATATCAAGAAAAAAATGTGACAGACAAAGCCAATTAATTAAGGAATGTTAAATTATGTTTGTGAATACTTCCACAGCATTTATCTTATTCTGGGAAATGCAAAATAAATTACTTCACTATGTTTTATCACATTTGTAAATATCCTCTTATTGAAAGGACGTATCAGCACTTGGGTTAAAGGGTGGATAGGTTGGTAATATATGTTCATACGTGCTATTATGCATTAAATATGTAGCCCATGACAAAGTATTGCTAAAGCAAAAGAGTAAGCAGTATGTCAGCAGCTGTCATAATTGGTGTCCCAAAGCTGACTCCATACTGATGCAATGCACTGACAGTTCACACAATCACAGAATGTGTCATGTTGGAAAGGGACCACAGCGGGTCATTTGTTCCAAGCTCCCTGCTCAAGCAGGGTCATACAAAGCACATGGCATAGGATTGTGTCCAGATGGTTCTTGAATATGTCCAGTGGGGGAGACTCCACAATCTCTCTGGGCAACGTGTTGCAGTGCATGGTCACCCAGACAGTAAAGAAGTCCTTCCTCATATTCCTCATTTATTCCCACTGCCCCTTGTCCTATTGCTTGGCACCACCAAGAAGGACCTGGATGCATGTCCTTGACACCCTCCCTTCAAATACTTGATGACATCCATCCCAGTCACTTCTTCTTGAGGCTGAACGCACCAAATTCCCTCAGCCTTTCCTCATAAGAGAGATACTTCAGTCCCTTAATCACTTTCATAGTCCTCTGCTGGACCTGCTCCAACAGTTCCATGTCTCTCTTTTACTGAGGAGCCTAGAACTGTACACAGCATTCCAGGACAGAGTAGAGGGTCAGGATCAACTCCCTCAACCTGCTGGCAACGCTCTTCATAATGCATAATGCCTTTTTTGTTTTCTTAGTATTTAACCCTGACTGCAGTGGAACTATATTCACCTATACCAGCCTAAAGCCTGGCCCAACATTAAAAAGACCAAATTCCAGATATTAAAGTCCATGCTGCATGACAAAGAAATTATTGCAATTTTCATTATTTATCCTAGACATGCTCTGAAGTTTTAAAGAAACCTCAATGCACCCCCTTATTCAAAGACTGAAACAGAACAAAACCATTTTTTACTCTCCTGAATAACACTGTGGTATCTGAAATATATGGTGTTTCACATCTAATCATGCTGAATTAATTTACATTTATCTTTTTATACTTTACCTATACTTAAGAAATTGAATTTTTGCTAGCAGGTTATTTCCTTTGATAGAGTGAATACCAGCATTCTTACATATACTGCTTGTAATTTTTACCCACATTTCTGAGGGCTAGGAAAATCATTCCCAATGCTACAAATTCCAATTAATGCAATTTTAAAATGTTTACTATGATAAAATCATAGCTACTTACATGCAAAATATTATAGATTTTTATTATAATTTAATTTCACTTCTGCTCTAAGTATGGCATACTCTGTGGTACTACAGAGACCAGACTGTTCCTCAAGCAGCTTCATGTCAGATTTTAGCCATGATACTACAAAGGCAATAAACATGGGGCAATAAATAAGGGGAATTAAGGTTACAGCTAAGACATTTAATTTTAATACCGTGGAGTATAGAGATGTTCATTTCATGTATAGAAATCTAATTCATAGTCCCTCTAGAGCAATGTAACAAATATAAATGCCAAAGCATTAAGCACATATTTAAGCGCAGCAGCTGAATCAATTTTGCTGTGATAATTTTGGCAAATAAGAATGCAAGTAGTTTCCATGTACCCAGAAATATAAATGATTCAAAAATTACAAAATTATTTTTCTATTTAAGATATTAGATCACTTTCTAAGATGCTGCTAAATTAGGGCTTAATTTTAAATTATGCTCTTCCTAAGAAAGTAACCTCTTTGTCCCTTTTCATTAGGCACATTACTGAGATTTTCTGTTTGTTACCAACTTAAAAGTAAAGTCAGTTTCAGTGGATGCTTTCGTAGAACAGTGAAATGATCCTCACCAACTTTACAGAGCTTTGTAAACAGCAAAAAAATGGCTTCAGGACATGGGGAATACTAAACATTTGTTACAACCGCCTTAAGCTTTCAGATTCTTGTTACTGAAGTGTTTTGTAAAATGTTTTCATTGGAAGAGAATCTCTTTGTTTTACTTTCTAAGAAAGTTGGTAACATTAGAGTGGTTCCTGTCTGCTGGCTCTGATGAATTGAGGCTTGTTTTTCAAGATACTAACATGAAGAATAATTTTATTCTAGTATATTTTTTCTTTGTTTAGAATCTAAATACTACAGTTATTTTCTGATATTCATATCTCAAACACTTTCCCCCTTTAGTTCCAAAGCTTGCTGCACTTCTCTTATTTTTCTAATCCACCCTTTTCTGAATGGGAATCTGTTCTAACAGCCAGCTTTCCCAGTGTTCTAAAGCACCAGACCTGTCTATTATGCAGAGATTTAGAGACACATTGTATCCTCTTTGGAACCACAAAAGAAATCTGTTAAAAACCCTTTCCACCCAAGAACTGGGCTCATATTCGGTGGGAAAGGGCTCCATAAGAACATCTCCAAAGCAGAAAGGTTACATGAGAGGTGACATTGATATTGCAAATGCCACATATCTTTTGCTGCGCCATAGATAAAATACTGTCTATGGATTCAATGTTTGGCTCCAATACACTTAATATCCGGATGTCCCTGAGCAAAGTAAATGCTCTCTGAATACTTTTCTCATTTTTGTGTGCTATGCACTTCACTGAATTGAATCTGTGAATCTGTAATTCTCTTTTTTCTGAACCTCATTCCTCCACCCTGCGCCCTGGCTGTGCTGCCCCACATCTGTGGTGGACATCTGCTCTGAATTTGCCCCTCTTTCTCTCCCTTCAGAAGAATACTCTTGTTATACAGCTGAAGGAGATCTGTTCCTGGGAAATGGGCTGAAATTAGCTTGAAGTAAGAGGGAAGGTGATGCCTACTTTAAAACATGAGAGTGAGTACTCCACAAATCTGTAAGAGACTTGGCATGATTTGTTTGCTGTGTTTGATGTAAATGCCTGGAACAGGCATATAGGAATGAGGAGCCAGGTGTTCAAAGAGCTCTCTTGATCTTCAGAGGCTAGAGAACCTCAAAACCTTCCTCTTCTCAGTGACCTGCTGTCCAAGCACTTCCCTTGTTCCAATGGTCACTTTTAGAATCTTACATATATATTTACTGACACAGCATATAGACTCTTGTGCTCTCACTACTCACTATAGCTTGATGCTAAAATTTCCAGCAGTACAGTTGCTTTGTGTTGTCTATCTGTTCAATGATCAGAAGCCTACATTGCCTAAACTTTGTTTTATAAGTAATTTCTGCATTTCAATCCCACTTCATCTCTCTTACTTCCTATTTGAGATGCCTTTTCAGGCCCTTGACTTCTAAAGAGAGCTACTTAAGGCACTCCAGCCTTAGTGATACAAATGACAGTAAAATTAAGCACATGGTAAGTCATACTTAAAAAACAGGTTTGAGATTGTCTACCACAGATGTAGGCCAGGCAAAAAGAAGATCATAGCTGTAAACTCCTAAGTACCTCTCAAGTACTTAGTCCTGGAGAGCTAGCTGAAGTCCAGAAAGCCTTCTGGCATGTTTCTGCATGCTAAAGATCTGCTTAGACCCTTCTCAGCACATACAGGTTGTTCCAGCTTCTTCACCATCCCAGCCTTCATCTCCTGAAAGTCAGGG